TCGGTGTCAGAGTAGCACATTTTCTGTCATGTTGTAATTTTTGCTTAATGATGAATGATGATATATTTTAGTCATACTAATGATTATACAGCAATGCTATTTTTCAGATTTTATAATACTTACGAAAAAAACCAAAAAAAAAAAAAAAAATAAGGAAGATTTAACAGTTTTATTTTTAGACGACTAAATACAAGTTCTTGAATAGCATAGTGTGCATGCATACATAATCAGTTGGAACAGTATTACAATGTACAGAGCCATGGTTTACAAATGTCCAGCGGCAAATCAATATGCAAGACGAAGATATTCTTATACGAATTTATTATGAACCCAGCTTCGTAGAAAACCGACACCCTGAAGCGTATTTTTAACGTGTTAGATCTCAGGGAACATTCGCAGGAAGACATGTCACCATACCCGGACACATTATTATGATCCCGCGCCGACAAGTATTTTCTTTACTCCTGAATGTCCCCTGCTTAGCGGTTTTGTAGCAGATATTTTATATGTCTTTGGTTCGACCTGGTCTCGAACGAGCATGTTCGTCGAGACGGTTCTACCTGAAGAATATTTATTAGTTAGACCACAACTTCATAGTAACCGAATATTATCCGGGAAGAGATTGGGGTTTCAGTATTTCCAACCGGGCTTATACCAACCCTGTGAAGAATCCACATACATTCCATGAACATTTCTCTCGAAATTACCTTATCATTCGCGTTCTTTCAGGACCAGTTATTTTTTGCATTAATCATGCTCCTTTTATGCATACATGCTGTCAACTTCTTTTCGTTGCCTTGGTGTATCAGAAGTATGCTATGAGAACACTTAAAAGTTTAACATCAAAGTTATGCTGTATTTGTTACGCTGTAAATATGATAGATATAAGAAGATGTGGTATGAGTGCCAATGAGACAACTTTCCTTCAAAGTCACAATTTGTAAAAGTAAACCATGTATTTAGAAAAAAAAGGAGGGTACCTAATGAAACCTTCGGGGAGTTTTCTTCTTGATTTTTGTTGAGCGGAAATATTCAACAAACAGATGTGTCACCCTAAGCTAGCGTTCTGTATTAGCGAGGACATTAGAATAGATGGAACCCCATAATATTTCGTACCTGTACCAAATCATACAACACAGACCACATGTTTTCATTGTTATTGGTATTTTCTTGTCTGTCTATTTGCTCTGAATGTTAAAAAGTTATTGATTGATGGTGCGGTATGTTGCATTGTCCAAAAGTTTAGTATTTTCTGTTATCATTGGTACAAGTTATCAAATTGTCTAGTTTTTTGAGAACTGATTATTTTTCAAGTTTACCTGAACCGAAGTGTCAGGTGAGCTATTGTTAACACTTGGCATTTCTCGACCGTCGTCCGTTAACTTTATTTTGGTCGACATCGCTAAACATTTAACATAAGGCTTAAATGCAAGTTATGTTTATTATCTTTAAAAAGCTAAAGAAAGAGAAAATCTGACTGGGGCAGAAAGTTTCAATTCTTTTTAATTTCTGCGTATTGTCTTGAAAACTTTGAAAGATGAAGAGGAATTGTAAATGGCAAAAAATCATTATAAAATCTGAATCTACAATTGCGTTAACTTGGCCGAAATAAGTTGACTCTTTAATGGAGTCATTCCCTTTAAATGACGGGTTTTTCCAATTAATTTGTGTTTTTACCTATCTTGAGAACAATAACATGTATAATAGATAGAATTATCTTGAAAACTGTAACATATAGTATAAACTTTAAAGCAGAATTGATCAGCAAATCAAGGACTACACATATATCAACTTTGTCTAAATCATCAGATGACTGCTTATTGTAATATTGTAATATCTAAATCAAATAATATTTTCTTCAGTTTTTGTTTTCCATGGCATCATCAACACCCGTGTGCGGTGTATGTGATCTCCGTAGTATTACCAAACCATCTACAATCTCGTGTTTTAAATGTGACGAAGGACTTTGCCCTGAATGCAAAGACCACCACAGTCTGTCAAAGGGAACACGAAATCATAACAACATAACAATAAGAGAGTACCAAAAATTACCAAATGAAATAGTCAAAATCACTCAAAACTGTGCAAACCATAATGAGAAGTCCATGATTTATTACAAAAAAGCATGAATGTCTTTGTTGTGATAGTTGTATGGTATAAAATCATATGGAATGTCGGGATTTCGACAAATTGGCTGATATCACTCAAAATATCAAATTTTCAAATGTTTATGACATAGAACAATCAGTAGCAGACCTTTCCGACAATATTCACAGAATTCAATATAATAGAGAAAATAATTTAAAAAGGTTAACCGAAATGAAGGAGCAGGATGAGGAAGCAATCAAACAAACTAGGATTACTATTAACAAACATTTAGACAAAATATAAGTTGACATAATAACAAAATTAAATGCGACCGAAGAACAAGAAAAAATAACGATAACAGAACTGCTGGACTTGTTGAAGGAAACAGAAAGTGAGATAATTGAATACCAGAAAAACATCGAAAATATCGAGAAACATGCTACAGATATTCAGACATTTATTTCTATGAAGAAGCTAGAAATAAACGTCTCAAGCAAAGACAAATTCCTACAGTCGGTGATTGACAGCGAAAATTTTAAAGACCACGAACTGTCGTAAAATACCAATGCCGCAATGCAAGATTTAGGAAATCGTATCAAGAAATTCGGAAAAGTAAAAATTGAGACAAAACCATGCAATGTAGACCTTACAAGGAGAAAAGACAAACAAGCACAACTAATTATTCCGCATATAGAATCTAAGTCAGTTGCAGAAGTCAATTTAAAGCTGCATAAAAATATAAATACTAAAAAAACTAGAATAAGCAATGATTTTTACTATGACTTGATTATACAAAATTATCAATGTGTAGCTGAAGTTATAATATTTCGGTGTCAGAGTAGCACATTTTCTGCCATGTTGTAATTTTTGCTTTATGATGAATGATGATATATTTTAGTCATACTAATGAATATACAGCAATGCTATTTTTCAGATTTTATAAAACTTACAAAAAAGTGAATGAACACGTTAATCATACCCTTAACCCGGAAAATAAAAAAAAAATATAAATCAACTTTCAACGAAACAAAATATTACATCGACGCTTTTTGATAGCATTAAACTTTGATTAAATAATGATTTAGATTTTCAAAATTTTCAGCATTTGAGAAAAATTCAAAAATATTAAACTAGACATTTATTTAGATTCCACAAGCTACATTCTTATGTCAGTGTAAGATCAAAGTACGGGCTATCAAAAATGAAATAAAGCATACCAAATAAAACTTAATTCAATTTTTGTACTCAAATAAAAGAACTTCTTCTGAATACTGCAGATATGTTTATTAGATACAAAAAAATATTCCTGGATATGAGTATATCGTAAGAGTAATTTCCAGATTAAGAGTAATTCCCGAATAAGTGTATGACACACGTCCACAAAATGATAATTTTACTATTCTATCTTTTTTTTTTTGCCAAATGAATGTACGAGACAAAGGTTAAATACACCCCTGTTGTAATTGCATGTACATATATTTTTCATTATGTTGAATAATGTTTTGAATTTGAAGTTAAACGAAAATGATGATTATACAAATTAATGCTAATTTGGACCTGTTGTGTTGAAGTTTGGTTAGTTGTAAATTTAGACGCGGCATGAACCTCAGTGTCAGCAATGATTGATAACCGACACAAATAACATACAAATTAAAGGAACTTGTAATATCTTTTAATCGTTCTAATAAACATGAAACCAATATGTTTCATAACTTACTTAACTCAACAATTTGTAAAAAAATCAATTCTTACAGAACAAAATAACCTTCTTCTTCTATTGTTGATCAATTTACATTTTAATATGTGGAATCATTGATAAAGGCAACTATATACCTTGTTATGTCATAGGAAGATACTTTTTTAAGCACAAAACAATTACCTGAATCTGATTGCAACTCCTTAGCATTTAAATTGGGGTACGGAATATGTAGCTCTCTCGTGTATAGCTATGATTCCTTGTCCATGTTTGAATATACATTTGTTGTTTTTTGGTTATATAAGCTCTTCAATGTTTGTTTTTGTTGAAATAAAGGCCTCAAACAAACAGAAATAAAGAGACAAAAGTGATCTGTTTCGAAAGTCCTATGGTCACTGACCTACATTTTATGCTTCATTGACTTTGCTTTACTTTTACGTCCGAGCTAATAACTCTGTAGCTTTTAGAAATAGTCTGTTAACTTGTCTAGAAATATACGAGTATGTAAACATGACACATGTCACAGAAGACTAGGACTGTTTCATGTTATTGAAAAAGGATGGCAAAAAGAAAGGAGATGATCTGAACACCTCAAGACACATTTTACTTGATCAATTCCATGCAGCGACTCAGGTTCAGACCCCGTCTTGGTCTGGTTTTCGTCGGTATTTATACTTCTTTGGTTTTGAAATATTTGGTTTTTAGCCTACCTGATGGAGGTAAATGCAGAAAAGCGCTTCGGACGCATACCATTTATAAAGTGTGTTTTCGTGTTTTATGCTGTTCTGTTACGCAACTGTACATGTCGTAGGTTAGGGAGAAGGTTTACTGTTAATAGACATGTTCAGCCCGCCATATTCTGTGAGTACCTGTCCCATTTTAAGAGCCTGGAATTCAGTGGTTGTCGTTTGTAGCTTTCTGCCATATTTATTTTTCGTTTTTTTTTGCTTTTATGATAAACTAGGCCGTTGATTCTCTCTTTTGAATGTTTCATATTTTGAAGATGGCTTTTTACGGCTTACTATTTGGTATGAGAAAAAAGTAAAACAACAAAAATACCAAACTCCAAGGAAAATTCAAAACGGAAAGTCCCTTAACAATTGGCAAATCAAAAGCTCAAACACATCAAACGAATGGAAAACAACTGCCATATTCCTGACTTGGTACAGGCATTTGCATTGAGTTTTGTTCATTTGCGAAAGCTTTACGTTGACTTATAAAATTGAGAATGGAAATGGGGAATATGTCAAAGAGACAACAACCCGACCATAGAACAGACAACAGCAGAAGGTCACCAACAGGTCTTCAATGCAGCGAGAAATTCCCGCACCCGGAGGCGTCCTTCAGCTGGCCCCTAAACAAATATATATACTAGTTCAGTTATAATGAACGCCATACTAAACTCCAAATTGTACACAAGAAACTAAAATTAAATTTAATACAAGACTAACAAAGGCTAGAGGCTCCTATTATAGCTGTTTACATTCTCGGTCCTTGTTGCGTGTTGTCTTATTGACAATCATAGTACATCGCCGCCTTTATTTTATTTTATTAATTTGCATTTAAAAGTAGCTACAAATATGACAAATATTTCAATTTCATGTTTGGAAAATTCTTTTTTTTTTTGCGTCCCCTTTGGCGATTCGCTTCAGTTAATTGGTATTATGTTTAAATCTGATGTATTGGTATGTGGAGGTCAATAACCGATAGTCTATTGTAGCCGTTCAAATCTTATTTCCGATTATTTATACATGTAAACTTCTAGGGCAAAGTGATTGATTTTAAGTCTTTTATTTTTTTGTGATAGAAGGAAATTGTTTACGCAATTGGTAAACTTTTAAATTTCAATATGAATGTTAAGGGTCAACATGCAGTAGCACTAGTAATACAACCGTTGTAATATTGACCACCGCCATACATTTCATGAAATTATTACTGCTATGTTCATATTTATGTCACAGTGATTATCCATCGACCTATACGATTCAAGGTATCATTGATTCTGTACACAGTACTACCGGATATTTGAATAAGGGGTGATAGCCATAGCGTTGATCCAATTACAATGCTAAATGCGGATTTACTACCTAAAGTCTGCTTCGAAAAAGCATAAAATCCTACCAGTGCAACCACGCAAATTAGATTAGCACTAAGAAAGAATATTAGCGCCTTCTTTCTCAATAACTGTAATCCCATTTTCCTGTCTTCGTTTGATATTCCCTTTGATACAGATGACCCGATAACGTTGGAGACCAGTTCTTCCCAGAATTTAAACTCAGTTTGGTTGAAGTCACTTAAACTAAAAGATGATGCACTCAAACTTCTGAAAAACGTTGTGTCAACTGAAAGAAAAATGGATTTCGCTAAAATTATACCAGATGTTAAACGAAGTAACGAACAAAAGTTAGAAAAAAAAATCAACAAAGACCTGTCCTATAAAAAAAAAAAATGAATATCCAAGTAAGTGGAAAATGTTTTTATTACATTGCACTCACATTTTTATTATGTATTATTGCAAGTAGATTCAACGCATCTCATATCGTTTACATTTTTTACAACCGCTTTTTAACTCTTTATTTTGATAATTATATAAATGAAAGCTCCTATTTATTCGATATCCAATTGATATATCGCCGGAACGATTTTTATTAAAATCCAAGTAAATTATATTCAAATATGAATATTAATATTATATATTTTTTATAACGTACATTAGTTGTTAATGATACTATTGTAGTAAATTTTTGGGAGCCCAAAAATATTAGAAAAGACGCACATTTGTATTTTTCCATTAATTATTACCAAGTGTACCTGTATGCTCGACAAGATTAGAGAAACTGCTATGGGATGAGTTTATTAATTGTTTAAGGCAACACGATAATCAATAGTTGCTTTAATCTGCTCCATTTTGGACTCAGTCGGACAGTCATGTCATTTGCAATCATATCACATCTCGTAATTTGAAATACCAGTAAGAAAAACAAAAATCGCAACAGCAGACACGTTAGACAGAATCTTGGAACTAATATTGACATCAATGATGCATGTAATAATTGCTCAATACGGATTTGTTTCCGTATTCAAATCATCACAGAAACTGAGCTAACAAGCTGGGTATTATAAAGGATGAAAAAGAAGTCTTTTTTATCAATTTCAGCGTTTGTTATGCTTTTTCTTACTGTTCGGTTTCGTTTTTATTACATTCGAATATAGGTAATTAAATACAACAGAACACATGCATCCGAAGCACTTCTTGGATTTATTTATTTTCATGAGGAATCCAAACATTTGAAAGCCAAGGACGTATAAAACATTAAAATGTGAACAGTGATATGACCATGAACATACTGACCCCTCCCCCCCCCCCCCAAAAAAAATAAAACAAATGTCAAATTCATCTAAAGTCAATTTTGCATGAGACAGTTGGAATCGGCAACTTGGATTTTAAATATTAAATGGTCTTCGGTATGAATGGATCAGTTTTGAATTGTCAGATATTTGAAATGAGCATTACACATGATTCCTCAGTGCCTCTAGGATTTTTAATCGTTTTCGAATAAAGTAGAAATTTTTCAATTGATAACAGAGAAAATTACTGTTGCCAATAGTTCATCATATTCCAAATCAGAAAGATGATCAATACATCTTAATTCGGAGGTTTTGGAAAGTAAGTCAACCGAGAAAAAAAGATACGAACATTAAAAATACAACAATGCATCAATACAAATCAACCAACATGGGTTCATTTTCCTTGGAGTTCGGAATTTTTGTTATTTAACTTTTTTCTTATATATTTCTTGCTAGTTTTTGTAATGTATATTCTGTTTGAAGATGTTGAGCCTATGTACCTTGTTGCGGTTCCAGTCCTTTCTTTATTTTCCCCTTTCTGTTTGGTAGCTGAAGAAAATATTAGATGAATACATATTGGCATATGATAATATTGTTGTAACAGCACAAGCACTCTATACAAATAACTGCATAAGCATTTAAATAAACAGCTTTTCACGAGGAAGTAATAACACAATTTCTAATACATGTTACACAAATGTATATTTGCAAAGGTTACATGTCTTATCTGTATTCTTTTCAATAAAAAAACCTATACTTTATGAACAAGTTACAGTTTAATTTTTCATAATACTATGTCAGTGAAGTGAATATATTCCTTAGCAGAGAAAATCAAATATGACTCAAACTACTTATTTCGTGAGAGAAACACGCTGCTGGGAACGTTTCGATTATTATCACTCCATAATTGTATTTAATCTTTTTTGATACTTTTTTGACGCTGCTTAATGACATCTATTTGGATGTGTGTTAGATAGTCAGAAGACACACTTTCACTTACAGCAACTTATAGTTGTACTCAATTATAGTTAACGGTATGCTGTTTGTAGCTATTTAACGTATCCGTCTACTGACGGACACAAGAAAACGATGGAAAAGTTTAGTTTGCGCAAATCTGTTGATTGACTCCGCTCAATCTTATGACAGATGTAAAGCCGTGGAACTCTGACTGCTTCTAAAGTTTAAATCACTTTTTTTTAAATCATGCAATAGTTTTTGCATTATAACAAATATGTTTTAACTCTCTGAAACAAACTTATAGCAACACACTGAAATTCAGGGAGGAACTGATCAATATAAATTCATTGATTGTTGCTTGCTTATCGTCTAGTGGCATATATTTCTTGCATGTTCAGGACGAGAACAAATTATCTTTTTATAAAAAAAGAAAGTCATACAATAGAGTCGACCTGGATGAAGGGCGGAAAATTTGGTATGCCACTGGAAGATGAGGGTATATTAGGGGCAAAATTTTAGTCTTGCCACCTACAATACCCTCAAGTAATTATCAAACACGTTCCTAAAGTGCAGAGTGCGTGACCATCTCTCTTCACGAGGCATCGTATTTAACGTTCTCATTCGGTCGTGGTTTTGAATTAATACATCCCGCACAGCCAAACAGACTTTGGCAACGGTTTAACTGCCTGTAGAAAAAAGACCAAGCGATTACCGTATTTATTTACCCCAGTCAACCCTCCCGGTATAAGAAAAAATATTTGATTAATATCAATTAAATTGTTAATGAAATATATACAATAAATCCGTTGGATGTGTACTAGTTGTTATTTTAACTCTGGGGAAAACATAATTATTCTTTTTAATATAATAGAACTAGCTTTTAGTAATTGAAAGTACTCTACGATCGGTACATTGTTTATTGAGTCCTTTTTTATGTGTTTTTTTTTGCCATCCTCTAATTCATTTGATCACTGGTGGAAAATTGAGTCACTTGCCATCATACCGCATCTTCGTATTTTTACATTTGTATATTCGTGCCGATGTAATGCGTCAATTCTTTGATAGTTTGTTCCTATTTGTTGCTGTTACGCCAATTACCAAACTTATGATACAATGTAGCGCTAAATAATGCGTTTCACCCTTCCAAATTCTTCATGTGTTTGACCCAAAGAGATGAGTCTGTAATTCAGTGGTTGTGGTCGGTTGCTCAAAGTCATATTTTAATTGTTCATTTAAGCATAAATCAGGTTATTTCCTTTGATTTGTCTTGTTTGTATTGTTTGCACATTGTCATATCGGGGCCTTTCATAGCTTTTTTTATACGTTTAGTAGTTTTGCTCATTGTTAACGATTATTGATAGTTGCTTACATCCACGTCGTTTTGTCTCCGGTGGATACTTGTCTCATTGACAATCAGACAACATCTACTTATTTTTCATATAACCAGAGTAAAATAACTTGAAATTCTGTTTCATATTGCAGCAAGCAATTACTTACATCATCACGTGTTCCCCATGATTGATCCACAATGTTACAGATTGCGTAGACAGGTAGTATAATATACATAAATGGTATAAAAAACAAGTACACGGCACCTGTTATCAATATCCATGCATCAGTTGGGTATAAAATAGCTCCATATATGTAACTACCAAGTACAATCATAACTAAAAATCTGTCTGCATGTTCAAAATGTCCATCTTGAAAGCCTATTTTGTAGATTTATAGTAATTGACCAAATATACGACAATTTAATATGTGTAAACAGATGCATATATATACATTATGATTATTTTAATAAACATGAATAATACATTGTTTGGCAATTATTGACATTTCAGCTAACTGTACGGCCTTCAAAAATTAGAAAACCCCATACCGTCCGATTTTAGATAACCCCATACCGTCCGATTTTAGATAACCCCATACCGTCTGATTTTAGTTATGAAAGGTCCGGCATGACAAAATGAAAAACGATTAAAACACGAAAAAAATTACCTGATTTATGTACAAAATGAAAAACGAAAACACATATATAATATACAGCAACCAACGACAACCAAACGTGTCTCTGATAAAATTATATACTATAGTGTTCAATTTTGCAAAAGTGATTTAAAAACATTTTAAGTAACTGAATTGCATTCAACTTGTAGTTACAATGTTCTACATTCCCCACAATTATTCATTTACAAACTACATAACCGTTATCTAAAAAAAAAAACCAATACCACACTACCTACCATTTGTTAAGTCTCTAAAAACAATAACAGTATAAGGCACAGATATGTAGACTGTTCCTGCCCCGAAGACAATAATTAACATTTTTGTGATGACTAATTGCATTGTTGAAGAAACTTGACTGAGTAACATCAAACAGTAGGCAAACACTATTGCAACTACCGCAGGAGCTACAATGAAGAGAGGTGCACCAGTCGCCATTTCAAAACCGAAGCACAGTGTAACGATTGTAGCTCCCGGATATAAAAGCGTTGAAATGAATAGGTGCAATAAGTAGAAGACGTACAGAATGGAAAATGCATCGTTTGCAGATATCAAGGTTCTAAGCATTCGGATAACCAATACTGCGTTTGCATAGTCTGATAGTATCCACCTACGGCGTTGTTTCATGAACTCTGCCATGTCTTCCGGACAGAACGTTGAATTTTTAGCATGACTACAATATCGTAATTTCCATCCCTTCAACATCATTAACGTACACATCCATCTGTCTTCACCTGTATATATAATTGAAAGTAACTAAATATTTAGATTTTATTTCTATTTTACACTTACTACAAACATTACATTGTTGTTATCATATTTATCATGTTTATATGTATTCCATATTCATTTTTATAATGGTCTATGATAGATATTGAGGCAGTATGATTTTCCAAACAAAAAGTAAAAGACAGAAAAGTTTGGACGTGCAGTTAGTATGCTGTTATTTCTACGATTCATTAAGTGCGTTATGTTTTTTGACTTTTTGTAAAAAGTTAAATCACAAAAATACTGAACTCCGGGGAAAATTTAAAACGGAAAGTCCCTAATCAAAACTCAAATAATTGAAACTCAAATATTGTATTTAAAACCATTCAATGGCGACGAAAAAGCAGACGTATACACACTTGTTATCATTGTGGCAATTCTTATACAGAAAAATAAAACGATGCATAACATTGATAGACGGAACTCTTTTACTGTCTGAGTGAAACTAGTTCAAAATGTGTGTTATATAAAAATCTACAGCAGACGATTTTTAAAACATGATTCGAAGGTTAATAAGCATGAACGTGAAAGTCTACTGAATTTTATATAAAGGAATGATTTTGAAGAATTTCGAAACATTAACTACATGTATTGCAAATATATCCTCCAAAAATGTAATAGTTTTTAATACCGTTGTCTTTTGTAAAAACATCTTCAATGTTTGCCACTGGTACCGAATATTCTGCAACCACTTCTTTAACAGCTTCTAGTTTGTACATACTAAAACATCCAGGGCAACACATAACTGAACCAATGATATTCTGTGAACTTTTAATTATCCATAAATCTAAAAGTACATTTTTTCAAATTATCATATACTTAAAGTAAATAACTTGTGGTTTTTACAGTAAGATAATAGCATGGAATAAACGTGAATTCCATATTTTCCGAAATGGTGTTTAGCGGGCTGATATGAAAAATTTATCACATGCCTCCGGCTATTAACACATTCCTTTCCGTAACGTTATCGCATGGAATTCCGGCGTTACTCTGTAAATTCCGGAAAATACACCTCAATCGGACGTTTTCAATGAAAAACATAACAAAGTAGGGTACAAAACAATTATAAGAAAACAAAAAAATATATCATGCAAAATGCAAAAAAAAAAAAATAAAAAAAAAAAATGATACAATAAATGCATTTTTCAAACTTTCCAGCATAATTTAGAAAGTTATTTTACAAATGTATACCTCCAAACAGTTATTTTTTGTTGAATTTGTTTTTTTTTATCATCGATATAGAAATATATTATACTGTTGTTTTTCTTCTCCGTTGAGGCATACGATAGAAAGATTTCATATCGGATGTATTACATTTGGCGTCCGACGTCCGTAAACTTTTCACTTTTTTATACTGAGAACCACTTAAACGGATCAATATTTAAAACTGTTTAAGCGTGTGACAAAAAGATCATAACATGTCATTTTTCATATCAGATGTATTTTCACCCCTTGAACCATGGGCTGATAATACATCTGATATGAAAAAATTACCATTTAATAATCTGATATTATTAACTACTCTATTATTGGACTTGATATGAAGAAAACTGCCTGTACTATACAAAAGTGTTAAGTCGGCCAATAGTTATCAAAGGCACGAGGCTTATAATTTAATACGCCAGACGCGCGTTTCGTCTACATTAGACTCATCAGTGACACTCAGATCAAAATAGTAATAAAGCCAAACAAGTATAAAGTTGAAGAGCATTGAGGACCCAAAATTCCAAACAATTGTGCCAATACAGAGTAACTTGACCAATATTGATTTTTTTCGTATTGGCTGAGTTCTGATTCGGCCAATAAGATATTTCGGAACGACTCTAGATTTAGGTCGAAAGTCATGATAAACAACAACTTAATGTAAACTGCTGTTTGAAAGACGCTAATTTATTTACACACCATAAACATGCCGAAACGTTCAGTGTGGCAAATGTTTCAGGCTAGAGACTGTCTTATCTAACAAGCCTTTTGTAGTCGGACAATTTAATTATTTCATGTCAGGGCAACGAGTCTATCACACAGCTGATTTCTTGTCACCGCCTCATAGTTATTTAAAAATGTTTTTCAGTTTAATGGGTGCAAATCGATTTACTGTTTACTTTCGCTCCTCATGTTTTGTAAGGTGCCATTTATTTTTCAACCCAAACAGGCATATTAATTGCTGAAGGGTGACCTGTAGTTGTACAAGTCTTTGTTCTTTAGTCATGGTCTATATATGCCTCATTGGCAATCATATTAAACTCCTAGTTTTATTTAATCTTTTTGTTTCTGCATCTCTCGTACCTTTCTAATTACTTTTATGTGTTGCGTCTAAATATGAATTGTAACACTTTATAGTGACTGAAAAGATGTAGCCTTGGTTCATTTGTTTTTAAGGCCACATACTAAATGTCATTTAGCATTTTAAAGTCTAATACTATGTCAATTTCAACATATTTATGACATCATATTGACATTTTTGTGTCCAGACTATGTCAACCGGTTCATTTATCAATGACATAAATATAAATTTCGGCAGTGATAAATATACATTGAATAGCAAAATGCGAATCTGGTGCAGTAAAGTTGGAATTTGTAATATTATTTCTACAACAAAGTTCATACTTCTGCTGGTGGGCTGTTAGTCCCAGAAGTTATGCAAATTGCTTTCATAAATTTTGGAAATAACTTTAAGCTAATCCCTTTCATGCAGAACTCTGAATCCTGTTACGGGTTTTCCTCTACCAAGTGTCTTTTTTGGCTTACCAACTCTTTAAAAGAGGGACTAAAGATACCAGAGGGACAGTCAAACTCATAGATCGAAAACAAGACAAACAGACAAATAATAGTACAGATGACACAACATAGAAAACTAAAGACTAAGCAACACGAACCCCACCAAAAACTGGGGGTGATCTCAGGTGCTCCGGAAGGGTAAGCAGATCCTGCCTCACATGTGGCACCCGTCGTGTTGCTTTTTTTATTACAAATCCGGTAAATAGTCTAAATCGGTAAGTCACATTCGTGAAAAGGGAAGGGTATTGTAGTTACGACATAAGGAACATATCTAATATCATCTGTGAAACGGTTATTCCATAACGGTCAACCAACTCGTGATGGCGTCCATACAATTTACGAAGGGATGATTTCAACTTTACCATTTGGAACTCTTGGTTTAATAGCTTCCTTGTGAGCATCAATTCTCTATCAAGGAAATCATGATAGGAAACACAAGCCCGGGAATATCGTATCAATTGGAAGATATATACTCCGTATGCAGGCGCTGCTGGAATGTTGCTACATATAAATGGAAAGTTCACAATTGGGAAGCTGAAATCATCTCTTTTGTCGTAAAGTTTTGTTTTCAACCGACCCTCATTGTCAATTTCAAGATGTAAGTCAAGATATGAGGCAGACTTAACTGTATCTGTAGTATCCTTTATCTCTAGTTCGATGGGATAGATTCGTTCAACATAGTCACCAAATTTTGTATTATTTCGTGAGAGAACATCATCTATATAGCGGAACGTAGAGTTAAAGGATATTGCTAACTTCTTATCTTTCTTCCTAAGAAGTTCCTGTATGAAGTCAGCCTCATAATAATAAAGAAACAAGTCGGAAAGAAGAGGGTCACAATTGGTTCCCATTGGAATTCCGACAGTCTGTTGAAAAACACGTCCTCCAAACGTAACAAATATGTTGTCAATCAAGAAATCAAGCATCTTGATAATGTCAGTTTCAGAGAATTTTTTGTTTGAATCAAAGTGATTCTTTACAAAGTAGGATTTATCACTCCCCAAGACAAGATACTTGTATCTACGTTCGCCATTCTTTTTAATGAAACAAAGTAATACCAACTCTTTCAATTTGTCTTTAAGTTTGGAATGGGGAATACTTGTGTAAAGTGTAGAAAAGTCAAATATTTTAATACTATTGCAAGATGAGAGAGTCTTAGATTGTATGTACTCTAAAAGATCTTTTGAAGTTTTTAGTATCCACATCCGATTCACGCCACCTCTAGAATAGGCAGTTTCACAATAACATTAGAGCCCGGCTTTGATTGCTGATAAAATAGATGTTAATAATTTAGAAAGAGGTTTCGTGGAGCACTTGGAAGACCCAGCAATATACCGTTGTTTGTAAGGACACTTATGTAGTTTAGGTATCCAATACAGTTATGGAAGTTCCAGTTCTTCATCTTTGGTTGAAATTCCAAAGGAACATAGAACAGACCTATGATTATCCAGGATTTCCTCTTTGGTAAGTGTCGTGAGGGTATATGTTGAGTTTCCAAGTGAATTGTCAATACCTAATTCATTTATCAAGCAGTTTATGTAATGATATTTACATTTCAATCAGGATTTAGATTTTCTAGATGCAAAACGTTTAATGTATAAGCATATCCATTGTATATTTCATTATTTTGTATTATGAAAAATTTTGTATATAATAAAAGTGTTTGATATATATTTTTGACAGATTTCTTTAAAAACATTATGATCAACAAATTGAACATTTAAGAAACAAGACAATAGTGTAAAAATAAAATTAAGTAATTTGGCCTAGAATATGAATCACCGAATGAGACCTACCACCGACTTGTTAGTTTTTGGTGCATTCCGTCTCTTATTGTAAATGATAAATTAAGTTACGAAATGTAAATCGATTCCCAAACATGAGCAGTACGATTTATTATAAAACCAATAATGTCAATGAGCCAATATTCCGGTTCGCCAACAAATGCTTTGTTGAGAATTATTCATGTTGATGCACATATCTTACCTTTAGCATATTCGAACATCTGCAGCCAGACAATAGGACGACAATGAACCCCTTTAGGGTATGTTCTACCACAGACAGCCCCAACAGTCGGGTCTGATTCACACATATGTAATACTTCCAATATACTTGTATCCGGAAAAGTCATATCAGCATCAGTTGCAAGAATATAATCATCACAGTAAAAATTATCCTGCTCGTGATGTATTTGTTGTGAATCTGTTATGGTGTTTATTCTGTAAAATGACCCATTTTTTAAGCTCGTATCGCCTACAAATATTTTGACGTAAGGGACTAGTGTCGCATCTGTTTTGACAATATCAATCTCATTATGTTTTACAAGCGACTTGCATTTGTAGTCTATAACTGTAAAATCATGTTGAGTGGTTTCGTTTATCCCTTCAGGCGAGTCTATTGCATCTACAGAAAGCAAATCTGCGTAGGATTGAATTTTTGACAAATTTTCAGAGGACCTCCGAAAGATAGGCGAACGATAGTTTAAGACATACTCCATATACATTATCTGACTCCAACGCTTTTTCGCCTTGACTTTTGAAACATCTTTCAAGTGAACAAATAATGGTATTCCATTGTCAATCTTCCAGGAAAGCTGTATTCCGTATGGCGTAAATAGCATTATTCCTTGGTTAGTCTCTGTTATAATATTGTCTTCTATCAAGCCCAGTAACTGAAGACCAAACTGCTTGATATTTTGTCCATCAGCACCATTATCTAAGAATATATGAGTTTCCAAAACAATGTGTTCTCTTTTCAAAAGCTTTGAAGCTGAACTATTTCTAATACTTGCCAGTAATCTGTCCATTTCTGTCTGTGACTCCTGGTACATTGTAGTACAGACAAAAATTCTCCTGATGTTTCGTTTATTATCAACTGACATTTTGCATGTTTGTGTCTCCATTGTATTGAAAGTTCTACTGACTAAATGTTGCAATGTCAATACGGCTTCATACATACTAAAATCATTACACTGTATAGTTCTGTCATTTAGTATATCCAATGATAACGGAACAGTTAGTAGTCCTGCAAGAGTTCCATACAGTGCAGTATTATCTGCACTCACTTTGATTCCTTGATAATTTGGACAGATACTACTAGCCCATGTAATGTGAGATATATTTATTACTGACGAAAACGTTAATACTAGTATGAATGATACTATAATGGACGAAACATAGATAGGTAAATGAACAAGACATCTACCAGCTTTAGAGGTAGCATTGAAATACGTAACGCACTGACAAAGACTCGAACTCAGTAAGATCGAAACACAAAAACAAAGACTTTGTTTATTCGGTAAATATAAAGTATCAAAAAAGGACTTAAGTGATACAAGTTCGTTTGCATTACTTTTTCGATGTAGAAAGTAAACTGAAAACACACAAGTTAGCATCTTCAAAATGATATACAATATAGCGGAATTCTGAATACCTCTGCTATTTGTTGTATGAATACGTTTTTGAAAGTACGGTGTAATAATTATTGATATCATCACCAGGAAAAAACACGTAATTCCAGCTTGTTTTACCGGCATATTGTTTGTATTTACCAACAATACAAAACAATAAATAACGCAGCTTATGAAAACTAGAACCAATAGTTGTTGTATGTAACGACAATAGCTAGTGATGGTCATCTGAAACAAAATAAAAAAATACCTTTGTATTAATTCAATTTACACAATATTCTAAAGGGTTGTAAACTAATTCTTTTCTGTCACTTTTACAGCTAGTTAAGATTGTCAAAGTATGGAGTGTTTTTTTTTTATTGCTTGATATCATTTTTTTTATGAATGAATGTAATATTGATTTAAATGATGTTGTTGTATTGATTTGATTACTGATTAACAAATTAACTATACAAGAGGTGATGCAGATTTGACATTTAAGCGAACGCTTGTTCATCGTTGAAGACTGAATGCTAACCTTCAGATTTGGTTTGTTTTCATAGTTTGTTAGGTTGCTACTTCATTAAATATTACCACACATTGTATTTGTTCATATCATAGTAGAGGTGCTAGACATTACTGCTGATGCACGTTTTGTCCCTGATATTATCACCAATCCAGGAAACAGCGCTTTTGTATTGGCATGAAATATCATTTGTATGTTCATTATTCAAAACTCTAAGCTTCCCAAATTCACTATGCCCAAAACCATATAACCATTGTATTTTTCGCGTATAATGTTTTTTGTATTGATTTCATCATGTTAATAAATAATACGAACGTGTCTATTTTGAGTAACAATACTATGAATATAAGATCAACCTTATATACGGCAAAGGTGATGTTACCCAAAAACGCATAAACAAATAGAAAGGTAAACTAGGGATTGGTATATGAATTCGTGGAAGGATTTCATTAGATTTTTGAAATATTAACCTTCCTCTTATATCATCTCAATCAATATAAAATAGTTCTTTGTAGAAAATTAAAATAGATATCTCTTGAGACTAAGGACTATAATCGGCATATTGGTCTTTTTTTTTGTTCCATTGAACCAAGGATTTTTTTCCAAATAGACATCCATTTGGATCGTACTGTATTATTTGGATATGTTGTACACTATTCGTCATTGGCTGACCTTTAAGATTTAAGTTTTGCAAGATTTGGAAAATTTTATTGTCAGTTTGGTCTTTGCAGTTTTGTGTCATTTTAAATAAAAAACAATCGTATTTATTAGGGCTTTCGATGTTGGAAAAACTTTGCGTACAACTTACGATTTATTTTTAGATCAATCACAACAAACAACTTATAAAGTTGTCAGAATTTGGAGATTATGTTTAAAAAAAAAACATGCCGGACAGAGTTGTTACAACTGATGAACATGAGTGGGATTTTGTTAAACATGGTAATATGTTTTTACCAATGTCATTTACCGGTCATATAAAGAAGTTACCGATATACCAAAATAAAATTAATTAATTCAAATTATATTATAAATGGGTTAAATGACCCAAGAAAGGAAATAATGAAAAATGTATAAACTGAGATGTCACCATTCATGAAACCCGACATGAAACGATGAGAGAGAGAGAGAGAAAGAGAGAGAGAGAGAGAGAGAGAGAGAGAGAGAGAGAGAGAGAGAGAGAGAGAGAGAGATAGAGAGAGAGGGTACTGTTGTTATATTTAACTAATTATTTTTTATTTAATTTACATGATTTACGTACCATTCCAGTGGAACACAATGAAAAGAACATTCCAGAGTGTAGCACACCTAATAACAAAAATCCAGGTATTTTCCACAGATAACTCAAAAATAAGTTAGTCAACATATAACTCTCAGCAACGGATGATATAACACCCTTAAAAATATACAATATGTGAAATATATATTAAACTTATGAATAGAAAAACAAAATGTTTTATTTTCATCTTAATGTAGATATATACATATTGTTGAATCCGAAGTAAAAACCAAAAAAGTTAATAATGTCTTATAAGAATAGCAAAATACTTCGAAATGAAATAAATACAAATATCCATTCGAAACTTGGTATTATAATTCTTAGTATTATTTCGTGCGAACGAAATACATATCATAGAATGGTGTACTCTCATATTATGTTTCTATCTTCGTAGAATATCATTCCGCTATGCAAACGAATATTCTGTATATTTGATTAATTTTATCGGTATTCGTGGACATTAAACTCCTATTCTTTTGAATATATTTTAGTTGAATACCTTCGGCATTTTCAACTGATTTTCCGGCTTTGCACAATTCGAAGTAAAATAACATATTACAAAACATTTAGAAACAGCTGTATTACTTATAATGGAATATTTCATTGGTAACCTTAGATAATAAGTTGCCTCTATGGAAAATATTTATAAACTCTAGGGACTCAAATCACTGCTAAATCATTAAAAAGTATAACACCCCTGTTAATATTTTCAAAACTACAAAATCATGTGTCTTATTTAAGAGTGCAAAGAACAAAAAAAACAACATTTTTCTGGCTTCCTCCACCAATGAAGATCGGTCGCAATGATATAGCTAGGTATGTTTAATCTACAACACTTAATCAAATAAAGTATTCATCGGAAATAAAATCAAATTAATAACTCCGTAAAACAATTAAAACAAGATATAAGATAAGACATCAGCCGAGGAAACGTGCTGGTTTTATCTACGGTCACATGAACTAGAAAATTGCCATTTAAGGCATCAAGCGCAGAATCTTCACGTAAACTTGATAATGTCCCCTCTCTAATTTTTAAAATACACAGAGAGGTACGTCAAGGCGACACAATCAGTTCTTCATTATCATATATATCTATTAATGATATAAATGATGCATGTTTAGATGAAGAATGTAAGCCCTTCAAATTAGTTGTTTCAAATAAGAACTAGCCTTTTCTCTGCAGAAAACATAATTTTACTGTCAGAAAGATGGAATGCATAGATTATCTCAATACTATGATCAATGGCATTTAAAAGTTAATGCTGAAATATGCATTATCGACTTTTACCTACCATTTTGTTTTGCAGATAAATCAGATTAGCTATAGAAAAGTATATTAAATCCAGTCTGTAGTAAATTTGGCCAGATTACATACGAAAGATAGCAATCCTATATTAAAGGAATCAATTGGAATCTGTAAGATACAAATGCCCAAAATGTATATTCTTGGTATGAATATGTCAAAGAATTTATCCCTAAAGAGACAGATGATTTAAAAAAGTTGTCTTGATGCAAAACTATAAGGGAAGTCAAATCTCTGAAACATGTAATTAAGATAGGAATTCCTAATCCTTAAAAGCTCTATTAAAACCTCAATAAAATTATTAAAAACTTAAGTAAAAAAAGTAAAGTTTTTTTCTATAAGGTTCTCAAAATAGAAACAGAAAGAGAATTTTAATTATTACTTTCAAACGTTAAATTTCAAAACATATTACAAGCATTAGAATATGTGATCATTATCTGGATCTTGAATTGGGTAGATCGTAGACTATGTAAATTTTGCCATAGTAAAGATATACTGATACAGATGATTTTAATTGTATTTCTACTTTAACAGGTGAAAAGACAAAAAAATTACATGATGTAAGAAAACATTTCTTATCTGATTTTTTTTTCTCAATGAACTGACTTTATGAGTATCATGTACATTAAATGAATAAAATATATGTTCAATATACGGTTAATGGAACTGAGGACAAGGGACTCTTGATTAATTGATCGTTATATCATTTGTTGTATATAGGTTTTATGTAGGTTGTATTTTGCTTGTCAAAACCTGTAATTATGATAAACGACAATTCAAATTATTAATTTATATCACAACACAAACGCATTATATTATTTCTTGAAAATGTAAAAAAAAAAAAAAAACTAGAACGTAATATCTAGATGTGGCACATCGTTACGAGAAATCCCATTCCAAACATAAAAAAATGCATGTAAACTTTCCCTAATTTTATGGATTTACTATCAATATAAATCAATCTGCGTCAAGTAAAAAATTGTTGACGTCGTCAATTAGTTCATTATCGAGAATATTCCTGGATGACATGAAAAGGAGAAGAAGATACCAATGGTCATACACACATTAATAATATTAACGGTAGAATTTAGTAGACAAACAACATGGAATCAACAAGAAAAGGAAACACCAACTGACAAAAAAAAAACAGTAAAAATAGTTATATCAACACCCCAAACAAAATTAAATAGGAAACTTAAGATTGGGCAACACGAACCCGACCAACAACAGAGGTTAATGAGGTGCTCCGGAAGGATAAAAAATGACTTCTCCATTTGCAGAATTTAAGGTATTTTTTGGATTTATTGCTCTTCAACTGTTTCTGTGCGTATACATCATTTGCTTCAAATATTCAGCTTTGATCGTTCCTGATGAAGGTAAATCCAGGAATGCGTTTCGGACTGATGAAATGTATGAAGTATTGTTTTTATTTTTTGTGACAATCATGAGGGTCGCGTTATACTTGTTTGTGAGTCATTAACGTTGATGAGGTATAGCTCCTTAGTGGATTGGTAAATATTATCAATAATAAATAATATGGCATTGAAAGCTAAATGAAAATCTTACCAGTAAAAGCGATTGCTTATTCGGCCACTCTTTCAATTTCCCTACTGTTGAAAAGGAAGATGTCCATACTTGTGATACAAATGATGCAACATATGGAAGTAGTACTATTAAAAGCGTTACCGATTTCCTGCAAAAGAATAACAACAAATATATACTTAATCATATTAGTGATATTAGAGCAAATATTTCGTTTGATTTAATGTCGTTCATTTGACAATGTTCTTTTTTTCTAAATTTGTAAAAGATATTTGTGTAAGTTGTTGATAGTTGTAAAAATGATTTGTGAATAAATGGTTAAATTCGAGATTTTTCTTGTTGAAAGTTTCTATAAACAATATTTAAACCTTAATTTGTTTTGACACCGTTTGACGTGTGGTGCACTTGTTTTTGTCAATACATAAAAAAGATGCAGTTGTAATCAGAAGTCGAAGAAAAGCAGATAGTATCATTTCAAAAAAATAAAGTCCTGAAAAGACACAAAAAGAACACAAAAAAAAAGATTGAACAACTACTCAAGCTCATACCGGGGGTAAAAACCCATGAACCCAATCGCGCCGAAAGGGGA